GTCTGCATAGCGCTGGGGGCATCAGTGAGGCTGTGACGGGAAAAAGCATGGGAAACTCAGGCTCTTCAGTACCTGGAACAGAAAAAATGCGCAGGATTTGAGCCATGACTTGTTTTTTAGAAGTGACTATTTTAAAGAGAAACCAAGAGATTTAAAGGGAGAAGAAATAAATACGTAGCTTCCTTTCCGTTAACTTCTTAGCAGCAAGAATTGCCTGTCCCTTCCAGCTTTTCTACATACATTCACAAATTTCAGCTCTTTTTTCCTAGTTAGTTACCACAAATGTCGTGCGGTTGCTTTCTCATAGAATGAATAATGTCTTCTTACTCCATGCCAGTGGCCATGGCAGCTGCCAAACACCTTAGAGGGGCAGGAAAGGTTTTCAACAGCTGGGTGACCACACGGTTGGTAAGAAAAACAATCTCTTCTGAATTATCCAAAAAGTAAAAATGTGTGATCCCTGTGAAAACAGTTTTTCATTCATCATCCTCCCTTGTGCTGATAGGTTACTTTAAGCTGTCTGCCTCTCTGCAGTCTGCCTAGTAAGTGCATCTTAAAAAAATTGAGCTGATGTAAAAGTCTTTAGCTTCTTCATCCTAATAAGCTGAAATGTGTATTCTAAAGGAAATTATTTTACTGCCAAATAATGTTATAAATTGATTAGGAATTTTTCATTCTATAGGTCTTATGTTTCAAGCAGGGTACCTCCTGACAAGCTCTTGCCTTTCTAAGCACTAAAAATGTTTTAGGAAAACTAAATCTGGAGCTTATAGCCTTGGCTTCTCTCCTTTTTGCACAGTAGCAGGTCAAGACCTTCCCTCTTCAAAACAGTTTTCTCTTCAAATATGCCAAATTGTTTCAGAAGTTTCTCAGCCCTGATGCTCTCAGGGATGGGAAGATGATTAATTGATGCCCTTTACTAGGAATGGTTTTGAGGAGATTTAAGTTGCAGTCTGAATTTTGGAGAAGTGCTTGATTTGTGTGAGGAGTTGGATGATACTGCTGTGAAGCTTACAGCTGTTGCTGAAAAAGCTAATTATCCTTTTAATTTTTCTGTAGGTTGTATGTTCAGCATTAATTGTTTAAAGTTTTGAAACTTCTATTTAGGCATTTAGTAATTTTTCAAAAGAAAATTAGTCTCTGAAGTCAGTTTTCTCTGTTTCATTTATAATTTTCAAAGTGCAAGTTTAATTCTGTTGTATCCAAAAAAGTACCTCAGCTTGGGCCACTTGATATTTGATATTATATATGTATTTGATATTATAGATGTGTTGGGGGGTTTTCTTCAGGAGAAAAACGAAGTGGTGGTCTGCTGATAAACTTCCACTATAGCTGAGGTGAATTCCTAATATTCTTACAAATATGGAGAAACAGTTGATTAAGAATGATGCCCACATAGGGGCTGCAGGTTTAGATAGTGCTGTAAGAGGAAACCTTCCTTAGCATTTAATACATCTAGTTTTTCTTTTAGGCGAGGTAAATAATGTTTTGAACCATGAGGTTGCATAGTCAGAGTGCAGGATTTAAAAATGATCACCTAATTTTGTAAATTGTTCATAAACACTAATAAAAAGTGGTAAATTCAGCATACTCCTCAAAGCAACTAAAAAGCTGTTTTGAACACAATGCTGTTGTATGTAGCTGCTGTGAGAACTGGCTTGAAAAAGCTCCTGCATGTTGCAAAACCCTGCCTTAGCCATGACTGATTTTTAATCAAATTGAGGTGTATAAATAAAGCATATCTTTTATCGTTCTTTCCTTCTTTCCTTCTTCACAGTTAGATTTTTCTCTTAGTACAGAACTCAGCCTAGAAGCGCATGAAAATCTACAACTGAACTAAGAAATGGTTCAAATGGCAAATTTGATTCTTCTTGGCCTGATTACATGAGTACAAATCAGAAATGATTCCATGGAAATCGATGTGGCTGTAGTAATGTAATCTCAATAGAACCTGGAAAATATATCAGCTCACAGGATAAAAGCTCGTCATAAAAAATGTTTTGTCATTTAAAAAAAAAAATTAGAATAGAGGTATTCTTGCTTCCTATTGAAAAATAATTTTAACTTTAAAAATATACATGTTGCACAAAGCTGCTCTTTATCAAGGAAATATTAATCTGCGTACATTTGGTGTAAAGTGAAATTTTATGTTTTCCAAAACTAATGATGAGAAGACTTTTGTTTTTCAACATCAATGCATATTTTACCCAAAGCTGTATTATTAAATTCAACAATTCAGATTATTTCCTTTAAGTACATTATTGTAACTGGGCTTCATTTTTACCACTTTGTAACTGATCGCAGAATTCAGCCATCTATATTGCTTAACGTTCTTGACAGTAATCATACAGTATTCCTTTCAGCATAAAATGGTTGTAGGGGCTAACATAAATACCAATATAGCATGTTTCAGTACACGTCAGTGTACGTGTAACAATGTCAATTAAATGCAAATCTAATGTACACCTAAATTAAAACCTTAACTACATGGTTTTACTTTTTTTTTCCCCTCTCTTAAATTGTACTCTATACCAAAATTTAACCACGTGTGTTGGAACCCACAAAAGCACGTTGAGGATAACGAAGAACCACGTGACGAACACAAGAAGGTGGGACTAAGGCACTCCCAGTCGCTACCTGAAGTTCCTCGGGACCTTCTCAGGATGACTGCAGATATCAGAAAAGAAACCTCTGCGCAACAGGTGACCAACCAGCATCTTTTACCTGTTGCACTCTCCGTGGGTCCCCCGTGGTACCGCAGTAGGCAGGCCTGATCTTTACAGAGAGAAACTTAATCTCTGTCCATGAAACCTGCCTGCCCAGGTATCCCAACGTTGTGTAGCAGGGAGAAGCGGTCTAAAGTTTACTGCAGGTAACTATGGAATAGAAATACCTCCACGGTGACAAGTTCAATGTCTCTTTGTTCCTTAAAGCACCCAAGCCCCTATCTTCTATTTAATCATTGTTTCAGCTCTACATTCAGGGTTATCCCCAAGTGATACTAAAAACAGCCTAAGTGCATTTGTTAGGTAGAAGTAGCTAAGCCTGTGTAAATTGTAAATTATATCTTACTATAATTTAACGAGGGCAGGGACACACACAATTATTTATAATTATGACTTACTGCAGGAGTGGATGAACGTCCATGGTTACCTCTGCAGGCCGTGCTGCATGTGTGCAGCTGATCATGACGTCCTCTGAGCCGACAGAGGGGAAGTTTTGCCAATTTTCCACTGTCATAGAATCTCAGCTGTCAACCCGCCAACAGATGGTACTCGGTGTTAAAGCCAGTTGAAACAGTGAGCCAAATCTGGCCCATTATTTCTAATAGCAAACTTAAAAGAATACAACTGTGAAATGCACATTGCAATTAATTTTATTTTTAGTGACTGTTTTCATAATGGTCTAACCAAACATAGAAGCAACATTTCAGTTGCAGAAATGCAGGATGAGTTACTTGTCCTTGGTTTTCAAATAGAACAAAAATAGATGGTAGTTCAAAATATACTGTTGCTTTAATTCAGTATCTTTCCATCTCTTTAGTGTCATCTTGTATTATTTCACCTCAAAATCTAATTCCTATACATGTGGCTTGCTCTTAAAAATTAAAATGAAAAACTTTTTTTTTTCCCCATTACTAACTCTGTCATATTTTCTTGAAATTCTGGCAAGTGTTTTTCTCCCAAAAAGATTTTTTCCTGAAGCAGGAGACAGAAGACATTGTGGAAGCTGCAGGGAGACTCACTAGCTGTGAAAAAGATTTGAACACTTGCTACGTAAGATGAAGAAATCACCCTGGTAGAAAGAAGGATTGTTGCAGATTATGCTCAGGCACAATGTCCTTAGTGATGGTTTTCAGATTTGCTCTTCCACAGATGCAGCCTTATTAGCTGCTCAGAGTTTCAGCTCCCATTTATTTTGGTGGGAATTGAGAATTTTTAGTCTGGCGAAGTTCCATTCCCTGAAGGCTGTGATAAGCAGATATAAACACATAGAGAAATTGCCATATGATTCCAATGTCTGTCTTTTGTCTACAATATCAGTTTGCTTTCAGAGGAGTCTTGATAAGATTATAAAATCACAAGTAGAAAAGAGCATGAAATAGTTCTACTTTGTTTCTTTAAATCATCATTCTTTTTGAACAACTTTGCATAAGCATCATTTGTCTTACCAGTAGAAAGGCTTTTCTATTAATAGTTACAGTATGGGTTTTTCTAAAGCTGTGTTGCCAAAAGCAAATGGTTTGAATTTTAATGTGGCTTTGAGTTCAACTTTTTTCCTTTTTTTCCTTTTCTCTGCTCATTAATTTCCGCTTACATTCCTAAGGATCTATGAGGTATTACAGTACTTTTCACAGGAATTCACTTTATCTGATTTTAAGCTTTAGATGGATTCTCTTTCTGGTCAACTGATTAACATTTAAAAGTTTCTGCAGTTTGAAATACCAGAGCAAGGTCCTTAGTCAGGCTGACTACACCTAGCAATATACGGCTCCAACAGAGAATACAAGCACCGTAAGGAAGAGTCCTGGGAAGCATGGACAAGCTCCTGCATACACAGCTCAGGTCTCGGGGATCTCGAGACAGGCTGGTCACATTAATATTTGGTTGCATAGAGTGAACAAGGCATTGTATATATATCGGTTTAAATGTCGGAGTATGTTTCCACTGATGAATATACGAGCAGTTGTGTTTCTCACCCTTGGGATCTCTGTGAAATTTCTCCTCAACACCTGCGAAAACATTCCTCACGGCTGTTGCGTGGACTGACTGAAATTCTCTTGGCATCTCCATCTTCCACAAGAAGTATTTTACAAGGGAGGTATTACTGGCTCAAAATTCCCCATCTTCAATTGCAAGTCATCTCCATTTACATTTCACACAGGTCCCCAGGATGAGCTTATGATCCAATAGCGGTTCTTTAAGGCATTACTGCTGCACGTTCAGCTCTCCTTTCTTCGGCTGAGGAGGGAACTGAAGAATACGTGGATGCACTGAACCATTACCCTCTTACAATCCTTTATGCAGAGGGCAAGCAGAGAAGCAAATGGTTGCACTGAAAAAATGTGATCTTCCAACAGTAAGGCATGCTATTCATTAACGTGAACATGCGGAGCCGACACTGTGAACTAACAAGCAACTAGTAAATAACCTGCTCCACCAAGTGTATGCAATTTGATACACAACACTGTACAAGACATGAAAAGATTTTGCTATAGTCCGCCTGTGATCGCAAAGGGATCCTGTCATTTCCTATCCCTATTCAGATGGCAGAACAAACTACCTCAAGGTACAAAAGGAAAATTACTTGAAATGTTTGGCTACAATGGCACTGGATGGTCTTCTGAGGAGAAAGATGGATGGTATGTTGACACGATGTCAGTATGACAACCACACGGAAAAAAAGAAGCTGGAGTACCAATCCAGTTTGGTGACTTCAGTCTTTTCTTCAAAAGGTTTCCCCACTCCCCACACCGATGGGGCATGTTACTGCTTACGTGTTTATATACAAAAAGGTAGAATCGATGTTTTAAAAAAAACTTCTCAAAAAAAAAAAAATCCAGTGCTTAGCTTTTCTGAAATATTAAAAACGTAAAAGCACTATCAAAGTATTTTCTTCTAGTTTTAGGGAACTTCCCCACCAGAGAAGAGTGTTGAAGTTTTTGGTTATATACAGACAGTGCAAGATGTTCTCCATCCACACGTTTTACACCCACTCCCCGACACAGTGTTCACTCCACAAGAGGCAAGAACTATGCTTCTGATAAGGTTTTAATGAGCTATTGTGAATGTAATTTAAGCAAACATTTTTATTACTTGTGGTAAGTAACTTTCTGTAGGCAAAATTATCCTTACTGTTCCTTAGTCTTGTTCACATTAGGGCAAATTAGCACAAAATTTATTTCCCGCACAGTACTCCTAGGCTGTATCCCACGATTACATGAAGTTGTTCTTTGGTTTTGACTTCTAAGAGAGCTGTGGCGAAATATAGAATATAATACAGGCAAAACAAGTGTTAATTCTGTCTTTTTACAGTTAAAATTAATTTTATTTTTGGACTAACAGAATGGAGGAACAAAAAGAGGTAATGCATTAGCCTTGCCCACTTCACTGGACTCCCTAAAGACCCAGGGGACTGTCACCTCCAGGCTTACCAGTTCACTGTGTAACAGCAGTCCACCTACCTCGCCAGCAAGGACAAAGCCAGAGGCACAAAAGCTGGTGCCCTGCTGTGCCAGCTCCATGACTGACAGTTCTCAGACACGTTTAATGATGAGTATGTAATTTCTCTGAAGCCATCATTTTTTCCAGTAAAGATAATCACTTTTTCCTAACTTAGTAACAAGTTACTATCCAGAGGTTTTCGAGCCCCTTTTCCTTCCCCTGCCATGCCGCCTCCTTCTTAGCGCTTTGATTTTCTTCAGTCCAGGCAGATGAGCAAAGTAGCTGACAGAGACAGGGCTGATTCAAAGAACAAACGTGCTCTCAGGCTGATGGGGGCTATGTAATCTTTTGCAGAAAGAGAAGCAGAAGAAAAGGGAGGAATTGAGATCTCCTTTCCTTAAAATTCCCAGACAGGCTAAGAGAAGCACCATACATGAGCCTGTAACACTCAACCCACAAACCACAGATACAAAAGGAACTTCAGCAAACTTGCACCTTAATAAATCAATGTCTTTTTTTTTTTTTTCCAGACACCACCATGAATTGGAAAAAAAAAATGCACTACTTAATTTTCAGCAAAAGCTTTATTTTAGTTTATAGGCTTGTTTGTATTAAAAACAATTACTTCAAAATCAAATTCACATAAAACTCAGCATGTAAATAAACTGAAGTTATCGTTGGTCAAGATCTGTTTCCGAAAGACAAGGGCTCCGAATTACACTTTAACAACCTTGGCGTGGCAACAGGTAAAACTGGGATGGCAGTAGCATCTCCTAATTTACAGGCTGAGGAGTTAAACTGTCCCCCCCCTTCAGCACATTTTAAAACACCAGCTGCAAACTGGTGCAGTTAAATGATTGCTGTTTCCCATTAATCCATTGAGCAATCATTGAAAAAAGTATCCCAGTTTAATCTGCTACTTCACAGGAGTAAATGTTCTTCAGTGTTGTTACAGGCACTGCTATTTTCTTCCAGGAATCAAAGTACTCGCCTTAAAACATTTTCCTTACAACACCAACATACAGATTTTCAGAGGAGACTGTCACAATCAAGCTACATTATATACACTTCAAATGTACAATTATCTTTAAAAAATGCCTGTGTACAAAATAGAGGGTTCTTTTATTACAAAAAAAAAGAAATCATGTGCTAGATTTCAATTACATCAACATTTTAAAAGAACTGAAAATAATTGATGAATAATAGCAAGCTTCCAATTTATTAGGAACCTTCCTGCAAGCAAGTATAGAGGTACCCACACTACGTTTAAGATTCTAATAAGCTTTTTTTTGACAATTTGTGCTATAAACCTCATGTATGAAGCATGTGAAAAGCTCTCAGTTGTCACGACAGAATAAAAGCTAGTTAATTAATGCAAGATTATTTCAGTTAAAGTTATTCTACTTATGAAGTAAATACTGCAAGGGCATCTGATTTACAGCCAGTTAGACAAAGAACACAACTAGTGACTAGAACACATACATTAGTTAAAAAGTCAAATATATACAAAAATATATTAGAAAGTGGTCGAGTTTAACCACAGGCTCATGTAAAAAATGTTGTTTTAAATAGCAATAGCAAAAAAATAGCTATTTTCTCTCTCTCTGCAA